GTAATGGTTAAGCAGGATATATTGAAAATTCATTTCTTTACATATGACATGTTGTCTAAACAAAATAGAAAATTCTTTACAAGTTATTTTTCATCGATATTTTCATGTAAAATAGCAATTGATACTTGGGTGAGTGTGGGGTGTGAGTATACTAGTGACAGAAGAAAAGATACACATCCACACCTACACCCTCAAGATTAAATCGATATTCTAATGTGTGAGTGAATCGTAAATGAAGATTAGAGAAAAAAAAGTTTTTGTCTAGTTGTTTATAAGCTATCGAATGCTCGTCCGATCTGAATTGACACCTTTTTTTCTTTTTTCTTCTGTAGTTGTTGAGGAAAATGATGATGTTGTCGACAAGTTTATTTTCAATCGGAAAAGACAATCAGTTTTGACAAAGCGGAAACAATAGAATATATCAAGTAAAAAAGCAGCGAGACAACTATATGTTTTTTTTTCAAAATAAAGACAAACTTGAATAATATTTTCTTTCGTCTCTCCTTGCCAATAATTAGTTGATCATTATTATCATTCAATGATGAATCAATTCGATCTAATTCATCTATTGTTGCATTTCCATATTCTCAAATTATTTTACCATATTGTCTTACTGTTGTATGATGTTTATCTCCACATATTTTACTCATTGTTTCAGCTTTGTTATTTTCATTTTGATTTGATGATTATTGAATTTGTTTTTCAATAACATATCTTCCAGATGGTGTTGTTTCTCGTTTCATTGTTATAATTATAAAAGGTCTGTCGTTGAGAAACAGGAGAAAAGTCGATCGAAATTAACGAAGAGTTTTTCAATTGAGAAAAATAAACCATTGAATATTCATTTTTATTTTTATTTAAATATGAAGAAATCTATAAAAAAAAATGTATATCTTTAGACATTTAATTATGTTTTAGTCTTATTAATGACTTAATTATATAGTGTAATGTTTGCATAACTAGATCATTATTAGTGAATATAATACATATCAATGTTATTTACAACACTTTCAACAGTCTGATAATGAATCAAAATTCTTTATTCTCTTGATGTGAATAATCATTTATTGTAAATTGAATCAATTGTTTTGAATTTCAATATGTTTAGTAAAGTTGAGCAAGAAAAAGCTGCCGATATGAATATTGAATAGATGCGTGTAGGTTACCAATTGAGTGAATCAATCGAGATATTGCAAAGGTCAAATATCAAATGAAATCATGTCGCTAAAATTTCTGAAACAATTATAAAGTACTCAATTGCATTGATATCGTTTCATAAATTGAGATTATTTATTCATACATTATCATAGAATTTCAGTGGCTACTGAAGTGAACTTATGATAAGTTACTTTTTCAAAATGATAAATATATGCATTAAAAGTTAATAATAATGATAATAGAATTAGAATTCCAATTTCAGTCGCTTTTGTAACTCGATATAATTGTCCTATAAATTCCGATAAATAGGCTGCACCGGATAATGGATTTTCACTAAACAAGAATTAAAGATTACTTTAAATTAAATTCGATTTCATTTTTAAATTTCTTACCGATAAATGTGGTACATTGGATGCTGCACAAATATTAAATGAATTATATTCATCATAATTTAATGGATGTTCATCAATTGGATTCTTTTCACAAACACTTAATACTTTCCGTGTCTAAACAAAATAATAATAAAGTTTTTATTTGTGTTTTTGTCGGTCTTCTAAAGTAATTGAACGAAAATTATGTTTCATTTAACAAAGAATAAACTCAATTGTTTCAAATAAAACAAAACAACATGAAGAACTTCGATCAACAGATATGACATATCTTTGAGTGCATTAAAGATAGCTATGTTTTTATAAAGATTTCTTTACTGGTAGACCTGAGATATTAATTCACAATACTTGATTAAGTGCAAATTTTAATGTCATGATTTTATGTATTGGTTGT